CTGTGCCATGAACTAATAACTAATAAAATGCGAAGGAAAATTGAATATGCTTTTTTCCCGGGAACCCATTCGTAACAACCCAGCAACCAATTCGGATAAACCGATACTATTCACTATCTAATATGTTTTTATTATTATAAAATTTAAATGTTTTGTTTTGAAACTTCAGTCTTTTTTTTTTTTGTTTTAGTTTTCACCATAATTTATTTCAACACAAGACACAATCGTTTTTTTAACAACATTGGCAAACTGTTAGTACAGCTAATTTATGCTTAGCGTGTATGGTAAACTTTAAACTTATGTTTAAAATTGCAATAGCCGGGGAGTGCGGTGTGATAGACGTCGTCGTTGTGTCGTACAATGCACGGAAATAACTGCGAAATAACCGCATCGCCTTGTAGCATATTTTTTTTAATATATCAATAACTTACTAATTAAAGCGCACAACTAAAAAAAATCTATGTTCAGTCACACATAATATTACTACCTATTGTTATGTCTATTGTCATTSGCGATMAATCGTGTTTACAATAATATTGTACCTCATGTTCGCGTGACACAATGTTTTCGTTGCCTTAACGTGGTCACTATGGTGTATGGTCTGGATGGACCTGCCTAAAAATTATTTCATTTGATTTCTAACCAAGTGTCGACCGGTTTGTTTGGATGTAACCACGTAACTCGTTTTCTACACCKGCTTAATTATTAGACCGCAGACTGTACAGTATGAAACAACGCACGCCAGTACGGCATAAACATTGTACTGACGTGGCATGAATTCTTAATTATATTTCCGATGTGACTCGTAGTATAAAATATATTATAGGTACCAAAATTAATTAATTTACCAGTACATTGATAATAATTTTCATCAAAATCAAATCGTCGTCTGCTACTATCTACCGAATAAAAAACGTGAGTACTTTGTTTTTTTTTTTAATCATTTTTTGATAAGCCGATTTACATCTTCTTTTGTGAAATAATCATCATTAAAATTACTTTAATGAATTAGTTCTGGTCTATTGATTTATATTATCACGTGTAAGAAAAATCATTGAATATACGTACTAAGTTGGCAGGAAACGAAATAAATCAAAAAATATTTATTTTTTTTATAATATGTTATGGTGTTATGATCTAATATCAAATTTTTTTCATTATTATTATTATTTTTTTTTTTTTATATATAATACCTATATAACTTAATTGACAATTTCTTGTCATTTGTTTTAAGTAATAATAAGGCTTTTACCGGGCACATGCATTCTGAAAAAAAAATATACATAAGCACCAGAAACTAATCCAAATAGCCCGGGCATACATAAAATAGCACCAATTTGCTTTGACCCTGACAAMCTGTACGAAGTAATTGGTTCATTTTCTAATCATCAAAACATAATTTTATATCTAAAAAAATTGAATTGTAAAATATCATATAGTATTGTAAAACTGTAATACTTTTGTTAAAGCTAATAACCTAACCAATAAAAAAAAAWAATAAATACATTTACTTTAAACACTTATTATAATATATTAAATGAAACATGTTTTTTTTTTAAGTAAAAATTAATTTGGTAAGATCATTATTATTATTAAGTATATAATATTAAAAAAGAATATATCTTTATTATGTTATAATATTATATGTATTCAGCATTGTAGTATTAGTGACATTTAAATAATATTTTTATACCAACAAGTAGAAGTATAGTATATTTTAAAATAGGTTCCTAGATACAATCAATATTCATAGGAATTTTTAAAAATATGATAATTATCGCTAATTCACACGAATAAGTCAAAACATATTTTTATCTTAACAATGTGTCAATGTAAAATTTAAATCCTTGTATGGAAAAACATAATATCACATTAACAAACGGATTTAAATTTTACATTGACGCATTGTTAAATCAGGAAAATATTACGTGTTTGCAATTTTGAATCTTTAGAAAATTAAAACTCTAAGCTATTTCTTTTCTTAAAATATTATAAAAACATACCTAATACATTATTTTCATTAGAGATTATGTTTAAACATAAAAAAAAAAAAAAATCAAGAATTAGGTAATATTATTAATAATATAGGTACCTACATTTATCAAACAAATTTCAATTTATATAAATATTTATTTTTAGTTTTTACTTATAGTGAATGATGCAACGAGTGTATTATTTTGATATAGCGTAACCATGCGAGCCATTTAAAACTGAATAGTTCCGCTTTTGAGCATCATGTCACTTTGTCAGAACAAACTTCAATCAGAACTCTTTTTTTTCCTGCTTATATAAATCAATCCCGTTACCTCAATATTATATAATAATGTAAGTAAACGAAAAATGTTTTTTCACGGAACCAACACAAACAAAATATTTTTAGCAAAGTTAATATACCTATTTTATAAACAACTGTTTCCGGCATTTTGCTTAACGAACGTTAACAATTATTATGGACAACRGCCATGATTCAGTATTGGCGTATTTCACCGTGTAATAATTATGAATCCACACAATTCAACAACTCACCTTAATTTGCATTTAATTTAATGCTATAGGTACATTCACTGCGAACACAGTCGTGGCATAACTAATATTAATATAAATATGTATATTGTATATCATAAAATATATTTAATAATTTATACTGTTCATTAATCAAATTTCGTATTCAATGATTTTTTTTTTACAAGCCTCATCRGTGTCTATGGCCCCAATGGCATACAAAGAGTTTAAGGTTAACAATTTTTAAGGATACAGTATTGACATATTATATAAATAAAAAGAAATTATAAGCTGTTTATAACATTRGTTTTAATTAAAAAGGCCATCATGTGACTTATGATATCTGGATGGAGAGCTTCCGACTTGATATTTGATACCCCAGTTTCTCGATTGTCCGTTYCATAGAAACGGCGTGCGGAATATTTGGATACAATGTGTTTGATTGATACCTATTAAAGCAATTATTTTTGGTAATAATAATATTATTTTATATTTTGAATAT